CCAGTTGCTCCATGGGTGAAAGATGTGACAGTCTGCTTCCATAAAGACTACAGCCTTGGAAACTCTATGGGGCAATTCTACTCTGTCCCATAGGGTTATTATGAGTCAGAATCAACTTGACGGCAGTGGGTAGTGGGTTTAATGTTCTTTTAGTTTTGTGATATTTTCCATGTACAGAATAAAAGCTTAGTGATTTCTATAACTACTTTTCAGTTTGTCATCTCTTTTGCCAACCAAACTTTGAAGAGACAGTCATTTCCATAACCCACTGGACTTCGGTTGTTTCCTTTCATTTAGCTCTGCAGTATGCCTAAAATTTCCTTCGGACTATTTGAGGTGAGAATAGACAGTGTTCTGGGTTTCTTTTAGTTTTTGTTTTTCTCCCTAAACAGGAAAACAACTGTCTCTTGTATGATTTAGAGAATGACTCAAAATGTCCGGGATGATTTAGGGTACTTTATCATATAAAAACTTCATAGGATCTGCTTTGGTACTACCGATTCCATTAACTGCTTTGCCAATGTATTTCTTTTGGCAAAACCATAATTTTTAAAGATAATATTAGATTGTATTCTCCACACTAACAAGCTTAAACTTACAGGTTTCAATATCTGATACAGCATGTGTTGCTTTTCTTGACAAAATATTGTATATTCTTCCAACTAGTTATTTTTAAAGAAAATCAGGCCCGTTGTTTTAATCTTTGACTTCTTTACACCGACAAACCCCTTTAGATTCTTATGGAAAACAGTTAATTATGAATTGATTTTAGAAAAGTTGCATGTTTTCCAAATACATTTGGACTTTCTATGAGTATAGTTTAACACCGTTAATTTATGATTGTCATTTAAATTTCTAATTAAAGTTTTAAAATTTTACTTATTTAAATAACCCCATTGCCACTTTGCGGATTTCAACTCATAGTAACCCTACAGGATAAATTAGAACTGCCCCATAGGGTTTCCAAGGAGCAGCTGGTGGATTCGAACTCCTGACCTTTTGGTTAGCAGCCAAACTCTTAACCACTATATCACCAGGGCTCCTTTACTTATTTAGGTGATATATATTTCTTATTAAAGTTATTTCTGTTATATGATTTTTGTTACTATTATCAATTACAACCACTAACTGGTTGTAGGTAATATACAGAATGGCTCATGAACTTTCACATTTATCTTGAAATTGACCAGATTACTGCATGTTCTTATTACTTCTTAGGGTGTTGTTTTTACTGTTGTTCTTAATTCTCTTGGGCTTTTTAGATATAAATCATGCCTTTAGTTAATAATGGTCACTTTGTCTTCTCCATATCAACTCATACTTGCTAATTTTGGTTTTGCATCTATTATTCTACTATGGACCTAATATTTTCTAAAAGAGAGCATGATGTATATGTGTGATACAGAGTATGAGATGTATGAACGTGGTTTAGCCTCACGCTGTCTTCTCCGTTCATGAGTACATCATCAGTGAGGGACAGTTGGGTCTTACTTCAGCAATACAAAAGTTCGTAGGTGGGGCATCCTTCTACATTGGTACTACCCAAAACATAGCCACAGACCACATGCAGCTATCTAAATTTAAATAAAATTAAAAATTCAGTTATTCAATTACACTAGCCATATTTCAAGGGCTCAATAGCCACATGTAGCTAGTGGCTATCATGCTGACAGCACAGATAAAGAACATTTCTATTATTGCAGAAAATTCTATTGGACAGTGCTGCTCTAGAGGTCTCTACAGGTCACAGAACATGGGGCAGGAGTGCCTCCAGCCTTTTTATCTCAAGCATACCATATTACAATCCCATCTCACTCTACTGGAGAAAGCAAGAGAGCTGCATTGGTCAAGCTAATAAGAGGAGGGAATGCTCCCATAGCCAAGCTATGCCTTGCCAATGGACCAAGAGAAAAGCTGTCATAAAGTGTCTGGGGCCAGACAAAAGACTCAAGAACTGAGGCTCTGGGTCTTCACATAAAGCAGATCTTTTTTTTGTTTTTATCTTTGTCCACCACTAGACTATTAGCTCCTTGAGGGCAAGGACTGTGTCTCATGTATATCTGTAACTGCATTACCTACCATATTACAGAAATCCAGTAAGTGTTTTTATGTAAAAAATGAATGATTGTATCCACCCCTGCATTGTACCTTCTTCTTTTTTTCAAACTCTACAGAACTATAAAGTTATCTTTACAGTGTATACATTTAATCCTGTCACTTCCTTCTTTAAAAATGGCAACAACTCCCCAAAATAATTTAAACTCATTATTATGACATGATATACCCTATTTAACTGGCTTCTAGAATATGTTAACAAACACATTTCCAGTCAGCATCCTGAGATCAGCCCCTGTACTAACCAATGCGTTTGGCAAATTATTCATAGCTATCTTCCACTGCCCCTTACCCAACTCTGAAATTTTGAATTGGCCCCTATCATCCCCACCAATTTCACACTGCTCCATATCCACACAAGGATACATGGCATATAATGAGAGGTATTACTGATAGAAAATATGCCTATGTGAGTTTTGTGGGGACACACACCTTAAAAAAGCTTGCTTTCTGTCACATTAAACCATTTTCTGTTCCTAGAAAGCATCTTGCATCTTCAGACCTTCACGCTTTTGCTTTTTATTATTCTCTCTACTTGCAAAACAGTCCATCCTTCAAAGCCTAGATCAAATTTCCTATCATCTCCATAGTTCCCCCTTCATGCATACTCCTCTTATCTCATTAGTCACATTTATTTGCTTCCATAATACTATCTGTAAAATATGAGTTCAAGTCCTAGAATGAGTTGAATTTTCTAAAGGATACTAAATTGTGGAATGCTATCAGCTACTTAATTATTTAATTGTATTTGATGAATCTAAACATACCAATTATATACACATATATATGCTTATATTTATATATGTATGTGATGTATATAATATGCTACCTATGTTACAATGTACATTTCACAGCCAAATAATTAAATGCTGAGTTACATTATTTAGACTACTGATTTATCTCATATCATGAGTAGTTGAAAAGTTACTCTAGCCAGGTAATACTTTTTACTCATTAGTTCATCTCTACTATTTTAAAAGCAGGAGATCCTGGTATGTTATAAAATGGGAAGTATTACAAAATTTGGCCGAATTCAATAAGGTCTTCATACATAATTCTCCCCTAATTAAATTTGATTTTTTTTCTTGATGCCAGATTTCCCATTCTGATTACATGTCCTTTCCTTGTTCATTATATTTCCCTCACATTCATCTTCATTCATATTGCCTCTTTGCAATTCTTTCTATGTTTTTAGCCTTCAGTTCTTTTATTGAAAGCTCAAGAGTTGCCATTCTCTTTGTCTTCCTGTGTGTCTGTGTGTTTACTTCAAAATGAATAGATATAAAACTATCAAGAATAACTATAGCTTACTAAATAAATATTGGTATGCAATTTTAACATATTCAGAATCAGTATAATGGCATACACCAAAAAATGAGGCATTCAATTTATAACTGTAGTTGTTTTAGACAGAGAATAAAGACTATACTGAAAAACACGAGTTCATTCATAATTTCTGCATTGGCTTTTTCCACAATACCTTTTACATTTTATTTTTAATTTACTACTGTTTCCTATAGAGAACGTCTGATTACCTTCTATATAGATACAAATTCTCTATTGTGTACTCAGTTTTATTTTTCCCTCTTTTTTATTAGTAAAGACATTAACAATAAAACAGGCTCACTTGCTCCAGCTGGTAATTCCTCTGTACTAGTAATATATTATTCCTCTTTTGTGACATCATAATCATCCATACAGAAGTACCATGTATCTTTGTGTAGAAGCTACTGTTTCCATTAAATTTAATTACCTCCCCCTGTGGTTTTAAATAGAAGTGGCTTCAAAATGAGGGCAGCTTCTATTAAATTTAATTACTTTCCCCTGCTGCTCGCATGGTAAAAGGGAGGTTACTAAATGAGAGCAGCTTCTAAACTAAGGTATATGGTAACTGTGTGCTAGCAACAACAAAATTATGTCTAAACTACCCTTCTAGGAAGCCTCTTCGGTTTATCTTTTCTTTTAATTTTTTTTTTTTAGCCTTGCTTAAGATCCTAAAAAATGGCATTAAGATGGAAGAAAATGTATTTTAAAAATCAATTTTAGTTTCAAAGACTAAATAAGGGTAAATATAGAACTTCTTTACAAAGATATAGGAAATTATCCCAAAGATAATTGAAAATTATCAAGGTCAGAATTGTTACGATTAGTATCATTTGTTACTGTTTTCTAGCTCTAAAGATGATGAGTTTTATTCCTGATGCATTTTGAAGGTGTAGTAAAAAAGCCTTCTTTAATTCTGTTCAAACAAATTTAAAGATTGCTTCACTGAAAGTTATTAAAAAGGCATTAAGTTTGGAGAGATTTCAGAGAAACATTCAGAGACAGTAATGTTCAAAAAAGTGAAAAAAGAAAAAAGTGTCAGGCCCATTAAAAACTACTATATTTAAAAACAGTAAATCTACATGCTCTATAACAGTCTAAAAATGTAAATCACATTTAAAATATACTGTAATATAATGCTATAAAATCTAATAGAAGATGAAATTTTAAGTACCTCTTTTTTAATTAAATATTAATTAAGAGGAAATACTACTCAGTTAAACCACGACAGTACAATGTTTATTTTTTTTATATACAGGCAGAATTTAGATGAACAATATTTTCATTCAATCACACAGTTTAGTATAAATATAAAACAAGACACCCCTTAAGCATTTTAAGTAACAAATTAAACATTTACATTTTTTACTGTGCACTGAGGCTTAACATTTATGCAGCTTCAAAACCAAAGTACAGCCTCAAGGGAAGTCTCTCCACTGACAAATTAATACCTTAGAGAACAGAGCTGAATGGTGGCAATGAACTCATTTGTTCCCCCAATAATGAAGAATGACTTTTTCTTTACCACATCTGTGACTGTTGCTATGGTGACCCAGACTTACCTCATTGCTTCTCGAAGAGCCCCTCGCTCACCAAGAGTCGTGTGCTTGATGTCATCAAAATTATTCTCTAGCTTCTCACAATTCTGCAATATATTAAAAAACTGCATCAGTCCTCCAACATCCTGTGATAAAATTATATCTATATGGTTCTGAAAAACTATAATTGATTATATTGATTATGGACTCATGAAAAATATGCACAGCACTTTAACTGGGTAGGATTCATTAAAATTGACAGTGTGAACTCAGCAGTAACAAAATAAAAATGTCTTATGATACAGCTGTCATGGAAGTCTTTTTATCAATTTTTCAAAATGGGAAAATAGAAGGAATAAATATTATATAAAGGTTATACAACTTCTAGAGTTTTATGGAATAAAAATTAGTACTCTAAAATAATCTCAAGTGTATCAACTCAATTTAAATTCAAGAGAGGAAGTTAATAAAGTAAGCTTTAAATCACACATGACAAATATCTAGTTCTAAATAAATTAGCATTTACTAAGAACAAAACATAAAGTCCAGGTGTAATATAATAATAGAAGTGGCAAAATTACAGAATCATAACTCTATAATCAGATCTTTAACTACAATTATATGCATGATGTTTCCAACTGCATGTATATTTATTTGAAAATAAATCCAATCCTTAAATTAAATGAGATTAGCTTAAGTTCTTAAAAAAAATTAAGGTTGGGTAAATATGCCATAAACAATTTAAACACTATGTTCTGATAAATATAATAGCATTACTGTATTGAATTTCCTAAGACTATTTTTTTTTTAATTTTACTACAGTTGTAAGTATAATTCCATATTTAGGAGACTTAATTTTACATGGTTTTAATAAGTTTTGAGAACATAATATATAGATTAAATTTAGACTAAAAAAAAAAGTACCTCTATGAATCTTTTGGTACATTAGATTTTGTGTAGAATTTAGTGATATTTAGGTAATAAAACAACTAGATTTAGTGTTTTAATTAATTCAACAAATAAAAACTAAATAATATCTTAAGTATTGATGTGTTCTACATTAGTATGTTGAAATTGTGAATAAGTATGTTGGATTTTAAAAAATTAGAGAGTTTAGATTAATAATTTATAGATGTGTAAGAATTACTTGATTGCTTCTGTAAAGATTACAGCCTTGGAAACCCTATAGAGCAGGGCAGTTATACTCTGTCCTACAGGGTCCCTATGAGTCGAATCCACTCGTTGGCAATGGGTTGAAGAATTACTTGATTTAAAAATATACTGATAGAAAAATTGCTATTTTTACCTTAGTCTTTTTTTTTTAATTCAGTTGAATTAAGGCAATGATCCTGTTAACATAGTTATGGATATGCTTATATAATAAAAATAACTTTTTTTTAAATTTGAATTCTGAATAAAAGTCATCTATTGGATATAGCCATTGCAAATATTTTCTCCTGCTCTAAGTCTTATCTTTTCACTTTCTCAGTAGTCTCTTCAAATGAAGAGAAATTTTTTATTTTAATGAGGCCCAATTTATCAATCATTTTCATTTATAATTAGTACTTTCTGCGTTCTGTTTAAGAAATTTTTGTCTCCCTCAAGAGTATGAAAATATTATTCTCAGTTGTCTTCAGGAAGCTTTATTATTTGACATTTCCCATTTAGATCTAAATCCACCTGGGATAGATATTTCTGCATGGTGTAAGATAGGTGATCACACTACATAGGTAATCAATTAATTAAATCAGTACAGTTTATTGAGAAGACCATCATTTACCAACTGCAATGCAGAATAATCTTTTTCATAAATCAAGTCACTGCATGTGCAAGGGTCTGTTTCTGCAGTCTATTTCGTTCCACTAGTTTATTTTCTATACATAAGCCGGTATTACACTAACTTAATTACTTATACCCATAATAAACAATTGAGCCCTGGTGACACAGTGGTTAAGCAATCGGCTGTTAACCAAAAGTTCGGCAGTTCAAATGCACCAGTCACTCCTTGGAAACCTACGAGGCAGTTCTACTCTGTTCTATAGGGTCGCTATGAGTTGGAATCGACTCAATGGCAATGGGTTATAAATAAAGAACTCTTGCAAATTAATATGAAAAAGACAAGCCAATAGAAAATAGGCAAAATACTTTTTTATATAACACCATATAAAGAAGAATAGCCGAACAGCCAATAAAAAAAGATGCTCAACTTCATTAGTCATCAGGAAAATGCAAATAAATATTATAATGACGTATGACTACACGTTCAAAAATGCCAAAACCAAAAAAGACCATAAGTTTTTTTTTAGTATATAAAGCATCTGGAACTCTCATACACTGCTGGTAGAAGTGAAAATTGGTACAACCAGTTTGGAAAGCTGCCTGGCAATATATAAAAATGTTGAACATTTGGTTATACCTTATGACTTGGCAATTCCTAGGAATACACCCAAATACAACCAAAAAGAATATACCAATCCCTGATGGAGCAGAAAAGTGGGGTGCAGAACTCAAATTCTAGTAAAAAGACCAGACTTAATGGCCTGAGACTGTAGGAACCCAAGAAAGCATGGCCCCTGGACTCTCTGTCAACCCAGCACTAAAACCATTCCCAAGGCCAACTCTTATGGACAAAGATTAACTGGACTATGGGATATAAAATGATACTCATGAACAGTGTGCTTCTTAGCTCAAGTACATACATAAGACTAAATGGGCAGCTCCTGTCAGGAGGTGAGATGAGAAGGAAGAGAGGGTCAGGAGCTGGTTGAATGGACACGGGAAATCAGGGATGGAAAGGAGGAATGTGCTGTCACAGTATAGGGAGAGCAATTAGGGTCACATAAAAATGTATGTATAAATTTTTACATGAGAGACTAACTTGAATTGTAAACTTTCAAGTACAGCAATAAAATTAAAAAAAAACAAAAAGCATACACCAAGGAATACAACCACAGCAAATGCATATTGTTTAAAAAAAAAAAAGGTTATGTTCAAGAATTTTCATCTCAGAACTATTCAAATTAGCCCTAAAGTAGATACAAGCCAAATACACATCAAGATGATATGTATAAATAAATTGCAATAAATCATAAAATGGAAAACTACAAAGCAATGAGAAGTAGCAAACTATACCTACATGCAGCAACAAGGATGCATCTAACAGATATAATACTGAGCAAAAGAAGTTATACACAAAAAAACCACAGTCATAATTATCACAGTTATATGATGTTCAAAAATAGGCAGAACTATGGTGAACAATCTAAAAGGAAAATTTTATAAATTGCATTCACAATAGCATCTAAAAGAATAAACTTCTTAAGAATAAATTTAACAAGAGAGTCCCAGTTAATTGGTCTAATATCTTGTGTACCACTTCTGTTGTACCTCCTCGTTCACTGCATAGTGCCTGAGGTCTTAAAAGTTTGCAAGGGGCCATCCAAGATACAAGAATTGGTCTCTATTCACCTGGAGCAACAGAGGAAGAAGGAGAGTCAGGAATAGGAGGAGAAAATTGAATGTGAGGCTAACAGACCTCATGAACAACTGCCCTCTTTGCCATGAGACCAGAATAACTGAACGGTGCCTCACTACCATTAGTGAACATTTTGATCAAAGATTGTATAGAAGAATCCTGATCAAAAGGAGAATAATGCAAAAAGAATTTCAAATTCTCATGGAATCCAGACTTTCTGGAGCCATGGAGGCTGGATGAACCCCTGAAACTACTGCCCTAAAATAATCTTTAAAGCTTAAACCAAAAATATCCCTGAAGTCTTTGCAAAACCAAATAATAGTTTAGATTAACAGGAAAAGAAGGTCTGCCTTGAGCATTATATGCACAGTATCCACAGTATACAAAAATTCATTCCAAATAGATCAGAGCTAAAACTATACAACTCTTGGAAGAAAATATGGGAGTAAATCTGACCTTGGATTTGGCAGTGGTTTCTTAATATGACACCAAAACCACAAACAACAAAAGAAAAAAACAGCTAAATTGGACTTTATCAAAGTTAAAAGTTTTTATGCTTCAAAGAATACCAACAAGAAAATGAAAAGGCAACCACAGAATAGGAGAAAATGTCATATCTGATAAAAAGAATTGTATCTCAAATATATAAAGAACGCTTGCACCTCAAAATCAATTTAAAAATGGGCAAAGGATATCAATAGACAGTACAGAAGATATAAAATAACCAGTAAACACGTAAAGATACTCAAAGTGTTAGTTATCAAAATAATGCAAATAAAAGCCACAATAAAATACCACTTCATTTCCATTAGGATGGCTATAATCAAGATGGAAAATATCAAGTGTCAGCGAGGATGTAGAGAACTTGGAACCCTCATGCACTGCTGGTGGGAATGTAAAATGATGCAGCCACTTCAGAAAACAGTTTGCCAGTTCCCTATAATATTAACATGGAGTTACGATATGACCCAGAAATTCCACTGCTAGGTATATGCCCAAAATAATTGAAAACCTATGTCCACACAAAAACTTGAACACAAATATTCATAGCAGCATTATTCATAACAGCCAAAGAGTGGGAAAGAGCCAAATGTCCATCAAATGGTAATTGGATAAACAAATGTGGTATACCCATAAAACAGAGTATTATTCAACCATGAAAAGGAATGAAGTTCTGATACCTGCTACAACATGATAAACCTTGAAAATATTATGCTAAGTGAAAGAAGCCAGACACAAAAGGCTATGCTCTGTGATACCATTTATAGGAAATGCCTAGAACAGGCAAATCCACAGAGACAAAAAGCAGATTAGTGTTTCCAGTGCTGGGGGGAAGCTGATATGGGGAGTAATTGCTAATGAGATGGGTTTCTTTTGGGGGTGATGCAAACATTCTGGAATTAGATAGCAGTAACTGATGCACAATTCTGTGAATACTAAAAGCCACTGAATTATACACTTTAAAAGGGTGCACTTTATGTTATGTAAATTGTATCTCAATAAAGCTTTTATTTAATAAAAACTAATCTATAATGATGGAAGTTGGGGGTTAGTGAGTACAGGAGTCACAAGGGGATCTTCTGGGGATACTGCTTAATTTACTTTGTGAAAATGCATAGAACTGAATAGGAC